TATATATATATATATACATTATGTATGTTATATACAAAAATTATACAAGTTTTATACACTTTTCAGCTACTAGATGTAAATAGTTTCTGGCGCGGGCTAAAAATAATAATACCCCTAATATCTTCTGGAAACAAAAAACTACTATCATTTGGTGGTGCATTCTTTTTTGCAATAAATATTTTTTTGAGCGTTAATTAAGTGTGACTCTTAAGGGAGAATAAAGATAGTTTAAACAAATATTTTTCACTTTTGTCACTCGCAAAATACTAAAAAAAAAAAAACTAAAAACAAAACTACCCAATTTTTATTTATTTTTAATAAACCAAGCGAGAGATTTCTTTCTTCTCGTTATTATTTCTCTCACTTCCTTATAACTTGAGACCATCAATCGATGGAAGGTAAGGTACTATATTAAATTAGGCGTTATCTAAGATTGCACGACTTAAACAGACTCTATACATGTGCGCGTGCCTATTTCGCTTTAGGAGATATCATGAGGTACTTTAACCAAGTCATCCTCACTTAGTCATTTCGCTCCATTAATTTCCAAAAAAAAAAAAAAAAGTGATAGCCATATAAAAATGATAAAAAAGTGTACCTGAAAAAGATCTCCAATGTTGACAATAAGTGCATTTTGGTTAGGTTTGACAGCAACCCATTTGGAGTCTTTCATTAGTTGAAGTCCACCAACACGATCTTGATGTAAAATGGTCAAAAAATCACTATCTGTATGTGGTACTAATCCAAATATTTCTGGAGAAATTTGACAAGGTGGATAGTGATTGAGTCTAAGAAAACATGAACTCTCATTGCAAATTCCTTTGATTAGATTATCTCTTTGACCTAAGTTTCTTACAAGAACTCCAGCAAGTGATTTGGCTAGGTCTTGCATTGCAGCTGCATATTCCACCATCACTTCCCTATAAACAAAGAGTTGAAGAGACATTATATATCTAACCGAGTTTTAGACAAATTATAATGTTTTTATATCATCCGGTTGAGTTGACCCGTAACAATATGTAACTCTTACTAACATTGTTTAATACGATAACCTAAAAGATACATTAATAAACTACTATAACCGATACAGTTTAATGTTACTGAGTGTAAACATCCTTTACATTGTTAGTATATATAACTCCAATGTGAAAATCTTGATACAGGCCGGTCTTCAAATCCTACAACAATTTTCTACGGAGTACTATTTATGGACAACCTCCCC